AAATAATGTGCTAACCAAACTCACCTGTACAAATAATGTGCTAACCAAACTCACCTGTACAAATAATGTGCTAACCAAACTCACCTGTACAAATAATGTGCTAACCAAACTCACCTGTACAAATAATGTGCCAACCAAACTCACCTGTACAAATAATGTGCTAACCAAACTCACCTGTACAAATAATGTGCTAACCAAACTCACCTGTACAAATAATGTGCTAACCAAAATCACCTGTACAAATAATAATAAAACAAACATTTCTGGGACTTCGCTTGTCCCCTGACACCTCTGGTTACAAACCAGGTGTCCATTTCTGTAACGGTTTAAGTCATAATTTTGGGCTGGGGGCCATATTGATAGAATCCTGTCATCTGTATGTTTAGACTGAATAGAGAACAAAGAGAAAAACAAGTGTGAGAGAATATCAATAAGAACCACCAACCTTTCTCCCTAAGTGTTCTTCAGGCGACTGTACTGGCTGTTCCACTGTACCTGCCTGTTCCACTGTACCTGGCTTTTCCACTGTACCTGCCTGTTCAACTGTACCTGCCTGTTCAACTGTACCTGCCTGTTCAACTGTACCTGCCTGGTCCACTGTTCATGGCTGTTCCACTATACCTGCCTGTTCAATAGTACCTGCCTTTTTTACTGTACCTGTCTGTTCCACAGTACCTGGCTGTTCCACTGTACCTGCCTGTTCCACTGTACCTGCCTGTTCCACTGTACCTGCCTGTTCCACTGTACCTGCCTGTTCCACTGAACCTGCCTGTTCAACTGTACCTGCCTGTTTCACTGTACCTGCCTGTTCCACAGTGCCTGCCTGTTTCACTGTACCTGCCTGTTCCACTGTGCCTGCCTGTTTCACTGTACCTGCCTGTCCCACTGTACCTGCCTGTTCCACTGTACCTGCCTGTTCCACTGTACCTGCCTGCTTCACTGTACCTGCCTGTCCCACTGTACCTGCCTGTCCCACTGTACCTGCCTGTTCCACTGCACCTGCCTGTTCCACTGTACCTGCCT